TTCAACCTCGTCTCGCACGCGCGCAGGATGTACCGCTCGCTCGTCTTCACCACGAACCAGCACTACTGCCTGCACAGCCTCGCCCTCGTTGTGCGGCCGCGGCAGCGCGAGCAGCTGCACACCACGGCGTTTCAGGCTGGTGAGTTGACGCGGCGTGTGCACTGCGAGGGCTGCATTGCGATTCACCGCTACAACGCCGACCTCGCGGTGCGGGAACTACACGTTCCGGCCCGGCTGCTGCAGGGCCTCCTGCCCAGCGCCCTGCTCGAGGCGTTTCTCTTCTGGCAAGATGAAGAGGACGACAAGATACGCGGCTACCCGCTCGGCGACGCGCAGGACTACTGGTTCAGCTACACGCTTGAGGTGCGGTTGCGGCGGGGCGCTGGCGACTGTATCGTCACGCGGCGCAGCGGCACAACGCACCAGCCCAGCAGCAGCGGCGGTGGGCGGAGACCGCAACGTCAGTTCCGCGGCGCGAAGAGGCCCAAGACGGAGACAGCGGTATCCGCGAACGAGGAGGTGGAGGTGACGCAGGCGCAGGTGGCGCTGGTGTGCAGCGCGCTGCCGTACTTGACGGACGCGACGTGCTGCTGGCTGCTGCAGCGCACGCACGGCGACGTGGCGGCGGCGATTCAGCAGGCGACTGACCCCGACACCCGCGACGCCGTGGCGGCCGTCGACAATGAGGAGCGGCAGAAGGAACATCAGGCCGAAGAGAACGAGGAAGGAACCACACACCACGACAACGACAACGAGATTCATGAGGAGAAGGAAGCACCACTCGTGCTACTCAACCTGCTGCAGAACGTTGAGCTGTTCCCACTGCTGCAGCTGTTGACGAGGCTGGAAGACTGCTCGCACATCTTGGTCTGGGGACGCGCATCTGCAACACAGCCGCGTGCAGAGGAGGGAGAGAAAGGAACTAGTGCGACGCTGGCGGATGTGGTGTCGATTGAACTGCCGCGACTCCGCGCAAAATTGCATCCGCATGTCGACACCACCACCGGCCGCCTGCGCCTGCACCTCGCCGACCACCCCGGCTGGTACATCGCGGAGGCCGACGACATCCCGCACAGTACTGGCAGCAAGAAGAGCAGCGGCAGCAGCGGTGGCCAGGATTTCCTGCACCAGCTGCAGCGCCCCTTCCAGGAGTGTGTAACGCTGTGCAATAGCACCAACGACTTCGCGCTCATGGTGCCAAACCACGACTTCACCCCGATGAACGTCCAGGACGACCCATTCAGCCCACTGCTGCTCTTCGACCGCGCATCGCTGCGCTGGCAGGAGAATGTGCCGTCGCCGTTCTACCTCTACGCTGTACACCCGTGCGGCAGCTTCCTCACGCCGCCGACGCTCGCCGCCTCGCTTTACTATGCGGTTGTGCAGTGTGCGACGCGGCACTACGCAGGTGCGATGCGGACGCTAGAGTCGTGCTACACGGATAGCGCCTTCACTGGCGAGGAAGCCTTTATGTTCGGCCTCATGGAGCGCACGCTGCAAGACCGTTTTCCTGACGCCCACGCGGTGCGGCTGAAACTCGCCCACGCGGTGCAGTACGGCCCGCAAGAGCTGCCGTGGGCCCTCCACATCGACCTTTCTGGATACCTACAGAAGAAGCGGCACGTCTCACAGGCGTGCCAGCTGACGCGTGACGAGGTTATCGACCTCCTCCGCCGCTGCTCCAAGGCAGTGCCCATCATCCATGCGCAACTGCAGCTGTGGGCCGGCCTGCTTAAGGCCGAGCAGAAGCAGCAAAAGAGAGCTGAGACCAAACCAAAGCGCCGCAAGTCGTGTGGCGATGCGCTGAAGGTGACACTGCAGACGCCGCGGCTGGACCGCTGCGGCTACCCCTGGGAGCACCTGCTGCAGTACCGCTGGTCACGCATCGCACCACAGAGACCGCGGCGCGTCACGTACGAAGCGCCACCAACAGAATCGCTGCAGGAGCAAGGCCTCGTCGAGTTCCTCTGGCAGGACAAGCTTCTGTCCGACGAGGAGAGCGGGGCGAACAGCAAGCTCGGGTTTTACTTTCTGTACTGCTTGAAAAAGGACAAGCTCACACCGAAGTTGTTCGGTGGCGACGTGCGCGTGACGCTGACGCAGCTTCTCACGCGCTGGTTTCACCTGCGCCACGCCCGCTGGGGGCGCGAGGCGCTCCGCGACGGTGAGACAGAAGTGCGGCCGTCGTGGTGCGGTGCGGTGCTGCAGCTGTTTGACATCGCACCTTCTGCCGGCTGGCCGGACACGCTGTCGGACATGCAGGCGCAGTACCGCATGCGCCGTGGCGTGAACATGACGGAGACGACAGGCGAGGGCATGGCAGCAGCGCCGACGCTGATGCAGTTCTACCAGGCGCTTGATCGCGTGGCGCGCACGACGTTTGAGTCCAATGCGGCGGTGCAGCAGCAGCGGGAGCGGTGGCAGCTGAGTCAGAGCCGCACCGTCATGCAGCGGAAGCTCTCTGTGCGCATGACAGATCACCTGCGGCCGCGCGTCGCCCCCGCGAACACCGGCCAGGACCAGCTGCAGCTCGCGTTCCGCGCATTCCGCGCAACCGCACGCGAGGCGCTCCTGGCGAACGAAGAGGAGGAGAGCAACGGGGGTGCGGTGATGCAGCGGCGACTGCTTGCGCTCTTTGGCGCGCCGCTGAGCGAGGTGGAGGTGCTGTCGCGCTTCATCCACACGGAGCCTGCGGTACGGCGCGGGTGTGATGGCCGGTTGCCCTTCGATCTCCGCCGGCACGCTCAGTGCAGCACACCGCTTGCGCAGCACATGCTGGAGCGCCTCGAGGAGGATGCCGCCCGATTTGCGCAGCAGCAGCAACAGCAGATGCACCGCTCGCTGACGGCGCTTTCCCGCGAGCGGATGCAATCCATTCTCTGCGAGGGCCGCACAGCCGCTGCTGTGCAAGGGGAACTTGCCACCGCGACGGAAGATCTGCAGCAATGCATCGCTGCCTTGTCTGCCCTGAGCGCAGGGGATAACGCGGACGTGCGGGAACTCACCGCGTCAGTGCTGCACCTCGCCAACGATGTGCCCACCGACGGCAGGGGCAGCAATGCCGACGAAGCTGATGCCGCGCTGCATGTGCGGGACTTCCGCCTGCAGCGGTTGCAAGGCAGCCGATGTGCGGTGCCTCTCGAGTGGCTGCTGGGGGCGTTGTTGAGCACCGACATGGCGGCGGATCTGCAGGCTGTGAACCCCTTCCACGGCGATGTGGCGCGGCTTAGGGCGGACCTTGTGCTGCTGATGCTGCTCGCCAACCGCAGTTACATGGCACAGCAGGCGAAGCAGTCGGTGCGCCAGCTGGTGCTCTTCCTCGAGCTGTGCGCGCTGCTTCGCGGCGTGAACGAGAAGAGCGACAGCAGCAACGCCAACATGGCGGCGGGGCAAACGGCGATGGACGCACGCCGAGCGCGACTGCAGGAGTTGCTGCAGCGTTTTTCCGTCGGTGTTGATGTTGAGGCGCTGGAGCAGTGTGAGCAGCAACGACAGGAGACAAGCGGTGGCAGTGACGACGTCATCACCACCAGCAGCCGTGGCAGCTGCCCAGTGCGGTGCCTACCCGAGGATGTCGTGGCGGCGCTGGAGAGCCGCATGCAGCAGCTGGCCAACGAGGCAATTGACCTCCTCACTGCCAGGCGTCACTACGCGACGATGTGCGGCGAGGACAACGCTGCGGTGGCGCTCGACCCACGGTACCTGCTGTTCGAGTTCATGCACAACATCCTGCTGCGCGCACGGCAGGTGGAGATGGTGCGCTGGTTCGTCGACAACACCCGCGCCGGCGTCTCGCGCGTGCAGCAGATGATCATGGGACAGGGCAAGACAACCGTTGTTGGCCCGCTGCTCGCGCTGATCCTCGCCGACGGTGAGCAGCTCGTGACGCAGGTCATGCCGACGGCGCTGCTGGAGCAGACGCGCGGCATCTTGCGCCGCTGCTTCAGCGTGGTGGTGCCGAAGCAGATCTACACGCTGCATTTCGACCGCGCCTTTGACGACACCAACACAAGCCACATCGCGCTGCTGCAGCAGAAGTTAACCGCCGCCGCCAGGACGCGCGCCATTCTTATCTCCGCCCCCGAGTGCATCAAGTCCGTCTTCCTCAAGTCGATCGAGCAGCTGCACATCATTGAAACCACGCCGACGGAGGAGCTCGACGCGGCTCACGACGCGGTGGACGAGCGCACGTCGGCACACGCGCAAGGACTGCTGCGCCGCACACAGCAACGCTCCGCCGTGGCGGACGCCATCACACCTATCATTCAGCTGTGGCAGCGCGGAGTGCTCATCATGGACGAGGTCGACGTGCTGCTACACCCGCTGCGCTCTGAGCTGAACTTCCCCATCGGCCTTAAGCACCCGATTGACCTGAGCGGGCCACGCTGGACGCTGCCGATCCACCTGTTGGATGCGGTGTTCTTCTACCAGCGTGGACGTACTGCGACTGATGGTGGCGCCGAGACAGCAGCGCAGCAAGACCAACGGGACAACGGGGCACGGAGTCGCCTGCAGGAGACGGTGCTCGCCGTCGTGCATGACGCCATAGCAAAGGGGTACGAGACACGTGCACTGCAGCGAGAGCCGCACCTTGTGCTGCTTGACCACGCGTACTACCAGGAGCTGTTGCTCCCCGCCCTGCTGCCATGGGCACAGCTGTGGTTGTTCGAGCAGATTGAACGTGAGAAGCGGCGTGGCGTCGCCGCAACATGTGCGGCATCCGCGTCATCTTTGGAGTGGCAGACGTTTGTGGAGATCACGACAGCCTTCCTGCAGCTTCCGGAGCGTCCCGACCGCGAGAGCACTGTGGGTTTTGCAATCAACGCGAACTTCCGCCCCTTCGCGATCCAACTTCTTTGTCTTGCCCACGACTGGCTTCACCGACTGCTTCCGCATGTGCTTGCAAAGATCAACCGCGTGAGTTTCGGCCTCCTGCAGCCGCAGGAACTCGCGCTGACGGACCCCGAGGAGCGCGAGCGGATGCCGCTCAGTCGCCGCATGATGGCGATCCCATTTGTCGCGAAGGACGTGCCGAGCCGCAGCTCCGAGTTCGCCCACCCTGATGTGGTGATCGGACTGACCATTCTCGCCTTCCGCTATGAGGGCATGCGTTTGGCAGATGTGAAGGAGCTGCTGGTGCAGCTGAAGCAGGACTTTGCACGGCAGTCCGGACCCAAGGAGCACCGCCCTGCCGCAAAGTTGTACCACCACTGGCTTCGGCTCAGCGCCAGTCTCGTCGATGGCGAAACCGATGCGCCACCGTCGCCGTCTGGTGTTGCGGCCGCCGTTGTACCTGATCGCTCCGGCATCCCACTCTCACAGCTGCAGGTGACGGATGAGGTTGCGATGCATGCACTGCACCGCCGTCTGCGCCACTTGCCNGAGGTGGTGCACTACTACCTCTGCTCGCACGTTTTTCCCCGCACCATGAACTTCCAGGGCATGAAGATCAGCGCGTGTGGCCACGAGCTCGGCTCCTCTATGCTCTTCACCCAGCGCATCGGCTTCAGCGGCACGCCGAGCAACCTGCTGCCGCTTGACCTCGGCGAGTGCTTCTACGAGCCCGGCAGCGATGGGCGTGTGCTGTCGGTGCTGACCGACCCCGCCGTTGTCACGGCAGAGGTGCTTCCGCCCGACTGGATGCCGTTGCGCGTGCTCGACCGCATCGCCACAGCGCACCCGCCGTACCACGCCCTCATCGACGCCGGCGCGCTCATTACAAACATGGAGAATGAGGACGTTGCACGGTACCTGCTGGGTAAACTATCGCCCACTCTGTTTGACGGTGTCGTGTTCCTCGACAGGAAGGACAGGCAGATGATCCTGCAGCGCAGTAACGGGCTGAAGGTTCCGGTGGCACAGTCCGGCATCGCTCTCACGCGCCGCTTCACCTTCTTCGATCAAGTGCACACAACAGGGACAGACATCAAGCAGGCCGCCTCCGTGACGGCGATTGTGACGCTCGGAAAGGACCTTGTGTTCCGCGACTACGCCCAGGGCGCGTACCGCATGCGTGGTGTGGGCAAAGGGCAGCGGCTGCGCCTCTACCTTATTCCCGAGGTACTAGCGCGCATCCACGCCACGCTCGGAGCAGCGGAGACACACAACCTACTCCTCGACGTCCCCGTGTGGCTGCTGCTCAACTCGATGCAGATGGAGGGGCTACAGTTCATTAAGCTGACGACGCAGGAGCTGGCCAATGTGTGGCGCAAGAAGGCGCTGCAGTACCTACTGGCAGATTCCATCCACGCAAACGCACACCCTGACGCGTACACCGATATGGCGCGCTGCAGACGATTCCACATGCAGCGCCCGCCCATCACCAGCACGGGCAGTAATGAGCCACCGCTTCCAACGGTGTCGCTGCTGCGTTCCTCCATTCACGAGTTCCGGGAACTAATTGCGTACCCCGTAGACTCGTGTGTCGATACCCCGGTTCCCTTCCTGCAGCGCCTCACGGAACAGATGAACGGCAAGCCGCAAGAGCTCATCAAGGACGACGGACCATCTCAAGAGCTTCTCCGTGGATTGATGCAACGCATCGGATCTTCGCTCACCTCCCGTGGCGGAGAGAGTTCAAACATAGCGAAGAGGGAGTCATCAATGAATTTGGATTCGGAGGTCGTGCATGAGCAGGAGGCGGAGGAGGAGCAGGAGCAGGAGGCGGAGCAGGAGGAGCAGCGCATTTCTGTCGCCTCACGCGATGACGAGTTTCATATTCCGTGGCGCGTGGAAACGCTTCAAACGTACAGGGATCCACAACCAGCGAAGGGCAGCTGCTTCTACCCGCTTCACCGCCTGCGCGTGCGGCCGCAGCAACCGCTGTTACTGGTCGACGCCACAGTTCAAATCAGCGACAACTACTACCGCGAGAATTGGCACGGCGTGGGCGAGCGGCGCCTAAAAAACGCGTTTCTTATGCTGGAATGGGTACCCCCATCGCCGAAGGAGCAGCAGCAGCAACAACAGCAACAACAACATCAAGAGCGTGAAGAGACACCGGAGGCCAATGATCATGTCGTCTACGCTGGACTTGTTACACTCGCGGAGGGGGAGTCGCTGCGATGGATGATGCACCACCCATCGGGTATCACCGCATCTATTCGCATGGCGCTGCGGGTTGTGAGCAACGGGCGCTACATGGACGCCACCGATGTCTTTGCGGCCACACTGCCACATGTGCGTGAGCAGCGCATCCGAGTACCCTTCTTGAGGCAAGATGCCCAAGCTGCACTTACACCGGCGCCTACGGCAGTGCGTGACGGCGCCGTGCTGTTGTACCGTTTCTTCAATAACGACATGTTCTTCTCCAATGGAGAGCTCGCTGTGCTGGAGCAGATGCTGTGCGACGTTACACATGCAGACCGACTGCAGTTCTTCATGGACTGTCTGCGCGCTCGGCGCCGCCACCGCAACCACTGGGACGACGCCCCCGTCGCCGCACTCTTCGTGCCGGCGGAGGACCGCGAGAGTATGCGGCCGCTGGCCATCCTTTCAGCCCTGCGTGTTCGCTTTGAAGAGCTACAGGACAGAGTCATGACGGCGAAAGATGCGCAGAAGCTACGGCTTATCGAGCAGCTGCAGTCATTCCACACACGTGCCGAGAAGATAGCTGCAAAGAAGAACAATGGCCGTCAACAGCACCAACCGGCTTCGTCACGATCTTCAGTGCCCATGGATGCTGTGGCGCGGCTTCTGCATGATGTCTTTTCGGCCGTAATGAAACCTTTCACGCTTCACGACGTTGAGCAGACGCTGCGGTACTTGTGCCATCACGAATCCCCCGGCTTGACTGCGACGAGGGCCACCACTTCCCCAACTGCTGCTGCTGCTGCTGCTTACAGCGGCATGGGCGATGTGAGTGTTACGTTGTCTCACTTGACGGAGGCATTTCCCGTCCTCCGAGAGGAATTCCTGAAGAAGCGGCTGGAGGAGGCGGGGGAACCCGTGGTGTGTGACGCGGAGCCGTGGCACTGCCCAACATGCACGCTCCTCAACGATCCCGCGATGCGGCGATGTGCGGCCTGCAATTCAGTAAATCCCTCTGCGAGCGGGGAGACTGCAAACAGTGCCCACGGGGCGGAGCAGCCGTGGCAATGTCCGCAGTGCACCTTCATCAATGCATCTCGCCAGCAGCCGGTGTGCAGTGTCTGCCTTACAGCAAATCCCTCCCCACTGGTTGACGCGCAACAGTCACACGGGGACGTGCGTCACGGGCTCAGTACCGCTGCTGCTTGGGAATGCCCGTCCGGCTACTGGGTATGCTCGGTGGAGCATGGCGGCTGCAGTAAGTTCAACCCCAACGACGTCTTCTACTGCCAGGTGTGCGACAAGGCAAGACCCAACCTCGCTTCGCTGCGGTTCTAGCCCCATGTGCTGCAGAAAACATGATGCAGAAATCAAGAGGGACATGTGAGGTTAAGAAATGCGGCCGAAAAATGACCACAGAGGACCGGATGATTAATGCATCAATCATAACGAGGGAAATCATACAATGTAGGCCTCCGCTGCTGCATTCGCTCTTATGTACTGCATGCCCATCATGTGTTACCGCGAAACCAGTAAAGGGAAAAAGAAAACTACGATTTCGCGATACCTCGCTTTAACATTTTCCATGGCTCCTGTGGCAGTCAGTTTTGCGTTCACAGTTAGACGGAGTTTCCTCTTCTGCGGCATATGCGCCGGCACGACTGGACACAGACAACGCATGAAACAAAAGCGGCGTCGATACTTCGGGAAAGAGAAACAACCAAGTACTTCATAGATCTCTGCCTGCCCCTCGTTATTCTCATTCACGTTTACATTACAATGAGAACCGTATATGTATGTGTCTCTCTGGGTGCATCTGTGCCACCACCTACACACTGAAAATACCACAGCACCAGTGGGTCGCATTACCCATTCGTGCAATAGCCAACACTTTTAGGGAACAATACAATGTGGCCCTCCCTTGTTGTCCTTTGCTCGACGCTGTATGATTGAAAATAAAATGAATCCAGCCGCTTACAGGAACTAATATCGCTGTTACAGTACAGTTTATCCCTGATAAACCTTTCAACGGTTGCACTTCTCCTTTGCCTCTCCATATCTCTTCCGAGAAGACAAATTTATGTTGGCGCCAGTCTTAAACTTACGCATGCACACAATCATTGCCCCATGAACACAGGCTCCGTGTGTCGCCGCTCGCACTGCTGCTGCCCGCCGCGCTGTGGCTTCTGCTGCTCTCGCCACTGAGCGCGTGTGCCAGCGACGCTGTGACGGTGGGGCTCCTGCCGCTGTTGGAGACAGACGGGCGGTTCACCCACGGGACGGCCCGCGCTCTGAAGGCTGGGCTCAGCGCGTCGCTGTGGTCACGCAACTTCACGGTTGCGGACGGTGTGAGAGTTGAGCTTATTGATGGGAAGGCGCCAGCAGGCGGAGGTGGTGGTGGCGTGTCTGCGGCGGTGGAGGCACGCCCCAAGCTGCTCGCTGTGCTGGGGCCTGTTGGTGACGAGGAGACGGTGTCGGCTCTACCAGCACTCAAGGAGCACAACCTTGTTGCGTTTGCGCTGTTCACCTGGTCGAGCCGGGTGCGTGGGTGGAACCCGCACCTGTACTTTGTGCGGCCCGACCCTGTCTCTGAGCTGCTGCCGCTTCTGCGCTACTCCGTCTCCCAGCTGCGTGTGCGGCGGCTAGGGTTCATGTACCTGCGGGGTGTGGGGTTCGGTGAGATGGAATACGCGCACGCCGTGAGGGTTCTGTCACGCATGGGCTACACGCTGAGCGGTGTGTTCACTGTGGAGAGCTCTGTGGCTGGCTCTGCTGAAGATGCCGCGTTCAGCGCTGCGTGGGAGACGTTCGCCGATACTCGCCCGAGGGCCGTTATTGTGTTTGGTGCGCCAGGGAGGGACACCGCGAAGTTTGTTGAAAAGATGCTGACGGACCAGCGTACTGCGTCCGCCTACCTCCTTGCGCCCTCAGCGCTTCAGAACATACTTGTACCTGTTTGGCGTGCTGCGGTCTCTCGTGGGGTTCCTTTCATTCGTGGACATGTGACAACGACAGGGACCACTCCACTTGCTACCAATACTCGCTTCTCCGCTATTAAGCGTTTTCAGTCTGTCCTGCGAGATTACCTAACGAACAGCGGCCAGAGAGACTACACGGACAGGAATCACTTCCTCAATAATGACCTTGAGGGTGAGCTGATGGTTGCTGGCTGGATTATTGGTGAAGTACTGTCGCAGGCACTCGATAGTCGTGTGTGGCTAAAAAACAGAGAAACTTTCCGACGGTCACTCTTCACCCAGCGTAGGTACTTAATTCAAGACATTGTGATTGGCGACTTTGGCGGGGAATGTGTAGGATCAGCAGCTTCACAGGGCGCCATCTGCGAATGTAATCAGGGTGGACGAACTGTCTTCATGAAACGGTTTGTAGAAAACTTCCGTAGCCAAGTGGTGCCGAAGGGACGTGTAACTTTTCCGACATCGGAATGTTACGGCTCTGCATACCAACTTCAATCGCCGCTAAATGCGATTGCTGCGATGATGCACAGTATTGTAGTGGTGCCAGAGGCCAGGGAAAGCTTCTCAAACGGTATATTTGCAGCAACGGGAGAAGCGCAATTAAAGACAATCCACGAATTTTCCGTACGATTTCTGAACTCGACTACAGATGATGCTGGAATGGCGCTAAACCAGGAAATA